CATCTCTACAAAAAAAGAAAGAGAGAGGGAGGGAGGAAAGAAGGAAGGAAGGAAAGAAAGAAAGGAGGGAGGGAAGGAGGGAGGGAGAAAGAAAGGAAGGAAGGAAGAAAGGAAAGAAAGAAAGAAAGAGGGGGGAAGGGAAGGGAAAGGAAGGGAAGGGGAAGGGAAGGGAAGGGAAGGGAAGGGAAGGGGAAAAGAAAGAAAAATTAGCCCAGTGTGGTGGCACCACTCGTAGTCCCAGCTACTCAGAAGGCTAAAGCAGGAGGATTAGTCCAGCTCAGGAGTTTGAAGTTGCAGTGGGCTACAATGATACCATTGTACTCTAGCCCAGTAGACCAAGACCTCATCACAAAAAAAAGAAAAGAAAGGAGAGGGGCAACATTTAAGCTGAGACTCAACCAGCGGTGGAAAAGTCTCTGCATGTTCGAGGAACTGAGGAAGAAAAGTCAGTGGTGCTAGAGCCCGTTCAGGGACCAGGAGAGCAGCCTCACAGGCGGTTTGGTCATGCAAGTCATTGGAGGCCCCTCGAGGAGGGAGAGCTTTGTCAGAATTCCTCCCTGAGAAGAAGTGGAGGAGCAGGTAACTGGACAGATGAGAAAGAATCAAAGGGAACTCCCCTGCCCCCAGACACAGGTGCACACACACATGCACACTTATCTGGTTCAAGGGCTCGTCCTGTATTGGAGCAGAATCCAGTGAGACCTTTCAAGAGAATGAGGTAGACCTTGGACCTGAAACTCCATGCTTTGCATATGAAGGGGTCTTCTACTGGGACCAGTGTCAACCTATCGGGAAGCCTCAGTGATACTGCATTCAAAACTCTACTAGAAACCATCTCCTCCTACATCTCTGCCTGGCCCAAGCCCTGTCATTTGTCACTCGATTACTGTCACAGCCTCTTACATGGTCTCCTAATTCCATTTCCTTCTCCCATCTATTCTCCATGCAGCAGCCAAAAGAGTCTTTGGAAATGTTAACTCAGATCTTCTTACTCTTCTGAAAGAAACCTCCCGAAAGATGTAAATCTTGTATAATTCAACATTCTATAGCAATCTGTGCAGGAGATTCTTGCAGACACCTCTGCCCACCTCACCTCTCTGACGACATCTCCCACCACCACGCTCTCACTCACCCCCTTCACTCCAGTCAAACGTCCTCTTTAGTGCTCCCTGCCCACCCCCAAGCAGCCTTCTGCCTCAGGGCCTTTGCACTTGCTGTTCCCATCCTGCAGCCCTCACCCCACCCCAGAGCTAACTCCTGTGCCTTCATTAGAACTTCTGCATGTCACCTTCTTGGCAAGACCTTGCCTGATCACTGTGCAAGTGTCCAACCTTCCTGTCCCTAGGCCATCACCATGTCCCACCCTCCTTCCTGGATTATTTTACCCTATAACAAACACTTATCTTTGTGCACCTGACTGTATTGTTCCCATTTATGTGTTTTTGGTCCATCTCTCCCTGAAAGAATCTAAATTACATGAGGGCAGATATGTTCACCTGTTTGATTCCCTGCTGTCTGTACAAAACCTGAAACAGTACCTGGCACATAGGGGATGTTCAAAAAGGTTTCTTGAATGTTGAATAGAATAAATCTAAAATCTGGTGTCAAATAATCATGGCAGAATGGTTACTAGAAGACCCTGAACTTTTAGGACAAGGGCTGCAATTTAGCCCAATGTCACTAAGGAAGACCAATGAACAGAATTCCTTCCTTCCAGCTTACAGACAAAAACTACTGGACTCCGTTCCTGGCGCTATAATTTACCACCTGTATGGCTTTAGGTGAGTCACTTCCCCTCAGGAGATGTCAGTTTCCCCATCTGTAAAATGGGAAGATTAGACTAGATCATCTCTGAGGTCAACAGGCACCATGAAGAAGGGAAACTGTAAACTTTCTCCCAGGACTCAGAAATTTCTTATGCATGCTTCCGGCAGAAGACCAGATGGCATTTTTATAAGGGAAAGTGCTGTTGGCAAGAGGAGCTTTGGCTGCCATAGAATGATACCCACTCTCTCCTTTCTGCTCCTGAGCTCCCCTGAGAGCCTAGTCTGGGATGTGCAGTGAGGGCAGGTGTGGGAAACACACTCATTCCCTTTTAACTGATCTTGGAGCATTTTCAAATGTCTACAAAGTTTGGAAACATTCTGCGTCATACGCCGGATGCTTCTGGGTACGTGGATTGCTACAAATGTTTTTTGTTGTGGTCCATTATTTTGCTTCCAAGAAACACAGTTGACAGGATCCTTTCTGATTCACGTGTGCAAGTTCTAACTTGCTCAGCTTATGGGTGTTGCTGGAAGGGCACGTGGACTTGACGTTTCTTGATTTTCTATATCTCAAAACGTTCGTGATGACCCATGTACCCAAAGACATGTGTAAAGATGTTTGTTCAGAATAGCCCCAAACTAGAAACATCAATGGGAGAATAAAAACGTAAATCACAGTATTTTCCTACAATAGAAAATCACACAAGGATGGAGAAGAGTAAAGGACAGCTGGACACAACGCCCGCCCTGGATGGATCGCCCCCTCACTGAACAGAAGTTAGACACAAAAGAACACACACCATATGAGTCTGTTTACTTGAAGTTCAGACATTGGTGAAACTAGTTTATAGGGATGATGGCCAGAGGTGAGGTTATTCTGGGGGACTTTAGCCTGGGAGATGGTATAAGGGAACATTTCCTAGATCCCAGGAAAAGCTTTAGAGTTTGATCTGGGTGGTGGCCACATGTCTGCACATATGTCAAGTTCATCAGGCTGTCCCCTGCGTATAAAATATACCTCCATAAAGAAGAAGAAATTTAAAAAAGAAGTAAAAGGCCTAGAACCAGAGGAGAGTTCTAGCATGGGAAGGCTGTCTACACATCCTCAGGGGATTTCCATGAGATTGGGTGGTAGTTCCTGCCTCCTCTGGCAGCCCAGAGGTCATGAACTTGGCACATCTGGCCATTGCTCCCTCCTTCTAGGGAGGTGGGTCCCCAGAAGTCCGGAGGACACAGGGCAGAGCTGCTTTTAGCTCCAGGTTGCTTGGGCTCCTCCATCACCTCCCACGTCTTCCCACCTTCCAGCCCCCTTCCTGACAGCCTAGGCCTCTAGTGGCTGCTTCCTCCATCCTTCTCCCACTCCCCCCGCCCCCCACTGTTTTCCATAATCCCAGATGAGACAGAGAAAAAAAATCCCAGCCTGCCACCTTCCCCCTGGACTTTGTGCCTCTCTGGGTGAATCCCATGGAGCCTCTAGATATGGTTCTCAAGTGTCTGCTCAGATAGGGGAGAGTCTAATTCAACTGCCAGGACTGTCCTTGGCATTCAAATCCTAGCTCTACTGAGACCAGTGAACTCCGCCCCCCACCAAGAGCAGCAAGCCCAACCCCTCCCTGACCCAGAACAATTTGACTCGTGGTGGGAGTTTTTCTCCAATAACAACTACAAACTTCTTTTTATAGAGCAACTTTTCGCAAGCCAGGCATCGCTTTCTGCCTTTCACAGACATCTGCTTGCTCAGAACTTTTCCTAACCCCGTTTTACAGATAAGGAAGCTAACGCTCCAATAGGGTGAATGACTCACTCACAGAGCTGTGGTCAATCCCCAGCAGAGACAGCTCGGCAGGGGGACCACGTGCCTGACTGCCTCATATATGCACAGCCCCCAATGTCCACATCAGCACTGTAAACGGTGCCCCAATGTTAGCTGAATGGCACTATAAGGTCAAAGAAATGATGAAGTTTCTAGAAGATCACCATCTCAGTTAGCACAAATTTTTAAGCTCTGAATTACATTGAATAATAATAATTTTTTTTTTTTTTTGAGACAGAGTCTCGGTAGAGTGCCATGGCGTCACAGCTCACAGCAACCGCCAACTCCCGGGCTTAGGCGATTCTCTTGCCTCAGCCTCCCAAGTAGTTGGGACTACAGGTTCCTGCCACAATACCCGGCTATTTTTTTATTGCACTTTGGCCAGGGCCGGGTTGGAACTTACCACCCTCGGTATATGGGGCCGGTGCCCTACCCACAGGCGCTGCCCTACATTGAATAATTAAAAAAAAAAAAAAAACCTTCTGGCCAAATAGGAGGCCAGTAGGTCAACAGTGCTGTCCAAACCAGGCCCAGATGTTGCATGGGACCTATGCCACCCCTAAGAAATACATCAGGGTGGGTCTGCCTCTCCCAGGGCTGCACTGACTCATTCTCCTGGCCTGGCTGATGGCACAAAGCCTGGACCATCCAGCCTTAGTGCAAAGTCCCCTGATGGGCAGAGGCCTGGCCAGACAGATGGCTCAGCAGGTGCCAAGGGTAACAAAGGAATGCCTTCCTGCCCAAGTGTTTAGAGAAAACAGCCGTCAGAGAAACTTGCAACTGACCAACAAGCTTCTGGGTTGCCAGCAAGGGCCTTTGATGTGAGACCACTGAAGGGCCAGCCTAGCGAGTCCCCTGTAGAGAGCTGAGCAGAAAACCCAGGGTGGCCCTCAAGACTCTCAGTTATAATTGGATTTTCTGAGAAATGGCTTCATCCAGCTTGCAAGGCAGGCCTGCTGGTTTATAACACAAACTCACAGCAGCAACCACCATCCCTATAACTAGATTTGCCAGCGCTGTGATGCAAGCTCTGGTCTCATCCTTCCATTTTGATTTTGATCTATGAATTAAAAGAAAATCTTAAGCCCCCTCCCCCCAACCAACTGAATAGATCCTACTTTTGGCCAAAGGGAGCCCAGAAATACACTAAAGCTGAGTTGCTGGCCAGGAGAAGAGAGGCCACCCATGCCTTGACTCCCCTTCCTAAAGGTGTCCTTCGTAGCTCAGTAACAGGCCTAAGGCTATGTAAGATGAAACTTAAGTCACACCTGCAGGTCACCATGTACTTACCAGATTTGAGTCTAGGTGCCTGGTATGTGCCCACAGCCTGTCTTTGATTAGCAGACTTCCTTCTCCTAACGTAAAACACTCCAAACCTTCATTTCTTAACCAATCACAAATCAAAGAATCTTAAAACCCACCTCTAAATTGCAATCCTCTGCTTCAAGATGTCCTGTCTTTTCTAGACAAACCGACGTCCACCTTCCATAGGTTGATGTACGACAGTTAGGTGTAATTTCCATCTCCCTGAAACGCATAAAACCAAACTATAACCCAAACACAGCTGGCCTGCTCACTCAAGGATTCCTAGGCCTGGCTCTCACGGCCATGGTCGCACGCACATCGTTGGCGCAGAATAAACCCTCTTTAAATAATTTTCCCCTCCCAGTTTGGGTTCTTTTTTTTTTAAGAGACAGACTCTTACCTTATTGCCCTTGGTAGAGTGCTATGCTGTCACAGCTCACAGCAGCCTCCAACTCCTGGGCTTAGGCGATTCTCCAGCCTCAGCCTCCCGAGTAGCTGGGACTACAGGCGCCCGCCACAACGCCTGCTATTTTTTGTTGCAGTTTGGCCGGGGTGGGTTTGAACCCCACCCTAGGTATATGGGGCCGGCGCCCTCCTCACTGAGCCACAGGCGCTGCCCCCAGTTTGGGTTCTTTTCGGTTGACAGCTCCCTGGCGCTCTCTCTAGGGAGTCTATCTGCTTTGGCGAGGCTTAGGAGTCGCGTCAAGGTGAGCGCATTTCACTCCGTCAATATCTCGCACCTGTCAGCCTCTAGGGTGGGGGAATCCCTCGGAGGTGGGCTTTAGGGAAAGCTCGACCAATAGCCTTTCAGATTCACCAGGTACAGCTTCTGATTGGCTCCTGCCCTACGGACACGCAAGGACCATGGGCTGGAAGCAAGGAGGGTGGCCATGAAATAAAGCCAAACTTTTGTGCGGGGGGAGGGGGTGTGTGAAGAGGACGGGGCTCAAGGTTCAAGTCCCAGCCATGCCCCTCAGTAGCTGTCGACTTTGGGCCAACACTTAATCTCTAACCTCTCTGGGTTTCCTGCCGCCTTTGAGATCGAAATGAGACAGTGCGTGTAAGGTGCTCCTGCAGTGCAAGGCGGGAAGAAGGATGATGGGGTGATATTTCTGAATTAACTGGTGTGGTTTTTCACTCCCGGTATTTTCTTATTGCAGAATCCTAAAATTCAGGCAGCCATTAGTTTGGTGTCTCCAGGAAGGAGTGAACAGCAGAAAATGGGAATCAGAGTCCTGGATGAGGGGTGGGGAACCTGTGGGCCTTACGGAGACTTGTGCCTTTCTTGGTCCTTAAGTGCTGTCTTTTGACTGAATTTGCATTTTACAGAACACATCTTTTTTTTTTTTTTTTTTGAGACAGAGCCTCAAGCTGTCCTGCTGGGCAGAGTGCCGTGGCATTACAGCTCACAGCAACCTCCAACTCCTGGGCTCAAGCGAGTCTCCTGCCACCACCTCCCAAGTAGCTGGGACCACAGGCGCCCGCCACAACGCCCGGCTATTTTTTGGTTGCAGCTGTCATTGTTGTTTGGTGGGTCCGGGCTGGGGATTCGAACCCGCCACCTTAGGTGTACGTGGCTGGCGCCTTAGCCAGTTGAGCTATAGGCGCCGAGCCCACATCTTTTCATTAAAAGGGGTTCAGGCCAGGCACAGTGGCTCACACGTGTAATCCTAGCACTCCTGGGAGGCTGGTGGATTCCTTGAGCTCAAGAGTTGGAGACCAGCCTGAGCAAGAGAGACACCCCATCTCTACTAAAACTAGAAAAACTAGCTGGGCATCATGGCGGACACTGTAGTCCCAGCTACTCGGGAAGCTGAGGCAAGAGAATTGTTCAAGCCCAAGGATTTGAGGTTGCTGTGAGTTATGATGGTGCCATGACACTCTACCCAGGGCAACAGAAAACTCTGTCTCAAAAAAGGAGGGGTGGCGTGCAGCAGAGAAAGATGAAGCTTTTCTTGCTTCCCTTGGTACTTAAAAAGGAGCCCAACTTTGAAATCAGAAGTCTGCATGTTCCCCACCCAAAACTGAGGTGTATAGACAATGGAATAGATTTGGTACTAGGGGTTGGGGACACATACTGTCCGTGCAAGGATTCCTGACTTGTAAGACCAGATAAATGTTCCCAGATCAACAGGGCAAGGGAGAGTCTGAAAACAAGCAAGGAAAACCAGGACAGAGGTCCCCAGCCTGTGTCCCACTGCATCCCTTTCCCATGTGGCACCCAGGGAGGCCCAGGGAGGCAGCAGGACCCTACCATGAAGGGCCATTTGTTGTCCCTAGGCAGGCAGGTCTGAGATGGTTCTGTAGCATTTCTCCACACCCCAGCAGGGAAGAGGAAAAGGAAAATGATCCCAAGAGGGCACCAAGGTGCAGAAGAGTGAGGGCTGCCACCTCAGGGGTCTGCATGAATCCAACCAAATGTAGTTAGACTTGTTGGGGACCATGGCGGATCCCCAAGGAGGCACGCCCCATCTAAGGGGCAGCTGCTACTCAGTGGAGTCCAGCAGATGGCTGCCCAGCTGGGGTGTGTACTCAGAGCGACTAACCCAGACATCTAGATTCTTATGTGAAAAGGCCCCATTTCAAATATTGGCAGGTAGTTGTTTAAAACACTGGATAAGCCAAACAAAACATACCTGAAGACTGCATTTGAACTGGACGATGCCAAGCAGCAGCCTGTTGTCCTGCCCGGTCTCCCTCGGGTGGCCTGGTGCTGGACTTGGGGGAAGGGCAGCTCAGCATGGATCTGCACCAGCCAATAGCCAGCAGCCTGGGACATGGACGGGCGGGGGAGGGGGGACACGTTTCTGCTACCTGGCAGAATGGGGCTGGTAAAATAGCTACAGGCTGAGTCATGGCAAAATAGCTACATTTCCTGTTAGCTTGAGTTTGTGGTCTGAGTCTTGAACAGACTCTGGTGATTTGGGGAATTTGACTTTTTCTAGGCTCTACCTACCTGCCATGTACATTGATAATTCTTTTTCACCCACCTCTCCATGTATTTATTTATTATGTGAATTAAATTATTTTATTTTGAAAAACGAAAATTACAGGGAGATCTTATGCGCCCTTCACCCAGCCTCCCCCAGCGGTAACAGTGGATATAGTCCAGGGGCACGGCCAGGAAACCGACAGAGTTTATGCCTGATGTTGGTTTCATGTTTCATACATGTCAGTGTGAGTCTATACAGTTTTATCACATGTAGACTTAAGCAACCAGCACTATAGAACTGTTCCGTCCCCACACACTAGGGCCACCATCATTCCCAAGCCCTGGCAGTGTTCTTCATCTCGATGAATTGGTTATTTCAAGAATATTATAAATGGAATCGTAGAATGTATAAGATTGATGTTTTTTTACTTACATGATTCCCATCAAATCCATCTAAGTGTTCCATATATCCATAATTTGTCTCTTGGCTTTTTGTTCCATGGTATTCATGGTGGGGTGGGGAGCACAGTTTAACCATTCAACATTAAAAGACATTTAAGATGTTTCCAGTTTTTAGCTATCGTAAGTATTTATAAACTGAATGTTTAAATTGTCAGCCAGTGGCACCCATGCTGTGCGTTTGGATGGGGTAGGATATGATCTCCTCGGTCATGGAAAGTTTTCACAGACTTTGTCATTTGAGCCCTGCAGAAGCCCTAGGCAGGGCAGAGATTGATTTATTCAGGCAACATGTTTGTTTGTTTGTTTGTTTTTTTGAGATAGAACCTCAAGCTATCCCCCTGGGTAGAGTGCCATGGCATCACAGCTCACAGCAACCTCCAACTCCTGGGCTCAAGCAAGTCTCCTGCCTCAGCCTCCC